AGGTTCCAAAGCTACAGAGAGACCCTATCTTCAAAAACCAAAACCCAATTTAAAAAAAAAAAAAAAAGGAACCAGGATCTTTCAGCCATGTTGAGATCAACAGAACAGAGAAGTTAGATAAACTAGCTATCTGCTGGTTTTTTTTTTTTTTTTTGGAGATAGGGTTTTCTTATATAATAGTTCTGGCATTCCAAGAACATCAAGCTGGCCTCGACCTCATAAAAATCCATCTGCCTCTGCCTCCCAAGTGCTGTGATTAAAGATGTGCATCACCACTAAACAGTTTGCTACCTGCTGGTTTTATAAATGATTTACTTTTCAGTTTTAAAAACTATAATCAATTTCTGTTGTGTGTACACGTCTATTTATGGTACTTTGCTGTATCACTTCAAACTAAGACAAACCACTGTTATAACTGTCACTATATATTCTAGACTAGCCTGGAAACTCAATCACTATATGAAGTCCAAACTGGCTAAAATCCAGTTATCCTCCTTCAACATCCTAAATGCCAAGATTACAAGCATACATAGTAGAACTTTCCTGTAGATTTTTAACTTCTCTAATTACAAAAGCTGTATTTGATAACTGCCTTTAAATTTCCAAATAAACTTCTCATTTTCAAAATGTTTAAATACTCTGAGACATTTACTTCTGACACTTTCTCCTACTTCTACCCACCCTACTTACTCTCTAAACACACCAGAGTTGGGTGTGCAGAGATGGGACTGCACTACCATCGTTCTAGGAAATCAATCTTTATCTCCTCATGACCTCATAAAGAGAACTGAGAAAAGTGATTCCAACAACTGGAAAGCACTAATTCCCATAGCATAATCTACACACCTCTCACTATCCTCTCCTTCTAGTCTACATTATTAGTATAAATGTTCTAGGGTAAAGAGGAATAAACTTGGCATTCAGTACCCAAGTCAACCCACCTACTGCAGAGTCCTGAAAAACTTCAATCTTTTGATCTAGTATTCTAGACACAGCTCAGAGGAAGAGCACATTCATGAAGTTTCATGAGGCCCCACGAAAAGGTCTTAGTGCCAAAAACAAAATGTCTACCACTATTTGAGAACTAACTCCCTAACCAGGCTTGTAGGACCTATGATCCACTTAGAACAAGAATGGATCAAACTTCAAAACAAAGTAAGTGGGACCACTCCAATCATCCTTTGCCCCCTCCCCAAGGATAGGTCGAAGATTTGCATACACAAGACTGGAAACTGGGGAAGAGAGAAACAGCTAAAAGGCAAAGCAAGATTAGGCTTGAGGCCCTATTGATATGCATTCTCCACATAACCCACACATGGTAAACAATTAAGGAAAAATCAGTGAGTCCATGGCCAGCTCACAGATGCTAGTCATATCAGTGAACAAATGAATGGTAGCGTGCTAAGGAAAATGTGTTTAACATGCAAGTGTTTTTCTTGAAACAGACTCCTGAGGTAAGTGATGCCAATACTCTCTTGCCTATTTACACAGCGATGCAGTCTAATGAAATACTCGACTGGAAACTCAGATCAAAATAATTTTTGTAAGGGGAGGCGCCTATACAGCTGCAGATGGCGCATAAATGTCGGTACATAGTCTTAATCTGCCCTTTGTCTTCAGTACCTTCTATTTAATATATGTGGAATATCTAAGAGTTTTCCAAAGGTGCAAAGTCTATACAAAACTAGGTCGGAAAAAAAAATAGAAAACGAATGTGTTCCTTATCGAGAATTTGCACTTGGAAGCTTAGTAAGATATGGAAATCAAATCAACTTGCTAAGGTATAAACTGGAGAACAATAAAGAAGCCCCAGGCAAAGGGAAAGTGGTTCAGTCCTTAAAGACCAATCCACCTGTAGAAGCTAAAAATCATTCTTGAGGTGCCTCTGTACTTCTTTTCCATGGACCCGTGTGAACACCCACACCAGTTCCACCACAAATTTCAAACCACTTTAATGCTCAAAATCAGTTATATTCAGTTTCTGCAAATTGTTGAGACAGGGTTTGATAGTTTGGATTAGCCTAATTCAGTGGTTCTCAACTTGTATGTTGCAACCCCTGGGGTTAGAACGGGCCCTTCACAGGGGTTACATATTAAATATCCCGCATATCAGATATTTACATAATTCATAACAGTAGCAAAATTATAATTATGAAGCAGCAACAAAATTATTTTTACGGTTGAGGGTTACCACAACATGAACTCATAGCATTAGGTAGGCTTGAGAACCACTATCCTAACTGGTTATGTAGCTGCAATGACCTGGAACTCCTGGTCCTCCTGCCTCCACCTCCCCAGTCCTAGACCATATGTGCACTATCACATAATGTTCTGCAGTGCTACAGATCAGGTTCAGGGCTTCAAGCATGCTAAGCAAATTCATTATCAACAGAGCTACAGCACCAGTTCTGACTCATAATTTTCACTTCACCATTTTCCCATTACACTTCATAAGCCTTTTCCAGCAAGTCAATGAATAGATTTTTGTTTGAATCACATTATGAGGGGGCTGGAGAGATGGCTCAGAGGTTAAGAGCACTGACTACTCTTCCAGAGGCCCTGAGTTCAATTCCCAGCAACCACATGGTGGCTCACAACCATCTATGAGATCTGGTGTCCTCTTCTGGTGGGCAGGTAATCATGCAGACAGAACATTACATACATAATAAATAAATTTTAAAAAATCACGTTATGAATAAATTTTTTTTGTTTGAATCACACTATGAAGCACGGTTAGTCCTTGAACTCTGAATCACTTCGGCTTTCAAGAGATTACACACTGCTGAGATTACAACAGCATTTCCCCAACTGTGCACATGCATGTGTACCATAGTATACATGTGGACATTAGAATACAATATACGAGTTTGGTTCTCCACCATGTGGGTTCCAGGTCATCAGGCTTGGCAATAAGCACCTTTACCTTTATCTAAAGCAAAGTAAGAATTCAAAGTCAGTCTGGGTGTATACATAGCAAAAGCACGTCTTTTATTTAAAAAGAGAGAGGAAAAAAAAAGCTCTGAACCAACATAGACTGAGCAATGAAAAAATTGAGAGGTCTCTTAAAACAAAAAGATGAATCAGGTAAATTTTAACACTGTATATTTTATGTTTTAATACTATAAAAGTATAGCACAGTGTATACACCTTTATCCCAAATACTCAGAAGGTGAGGCCAGGCAACCTTGAGCAACATGGTGAACAAATACCCATTTCTACTCTGACAAGTCAATAAAAACAAAGACATCATTTAGACAGGAACCTTCACTTGATGTGCAATTTTACTTCACGTTTGAGACAGGGTCTCACTCCCCTGAAACTCGCTGGCCTTGAACCAAGAAGCCTACCCATCTCTGCCACCCACATGTTTAGACAAGGGCTTACGCTACCACATCCAGCCCCAAGTGCTAAGAACTATCTAAGGGAAGCGGGCCTGATGTATCTTTCATTTCTGCCTCCCACCCCATCCTTTTTTCCAAAACAGCTTTAAGATCCCCAACGTCTGTTGAGAGTCTCCTCAAATCTGTTAACAAATATAAGTCTCCCAACCTTCACATCAAGAAACTGTGCTAAAACTATGTGCAAAACAGTAATTGGATTTATTCATTAAAGAAAAAGGGACCAAAGTACGCATGAACCTTTCTAAGACAGGCAACAATGGCAAAGAAAACAATTCAGCCTGGAAGTAAAAACTCCTTTCCTGGAAAGACTGAAGAGCAACACAGACATCACTTAGCACAGGGTCTCAGATCACAAAAAATTACCTTTGTCCAGAGTGCTGTCACAATCCCAGCCATCTATAAATTAGAATGAATCAATGACAGTTAGTAGAAAAATTTAAAGTCACCCAAGTCAAAAGTGGCTCCTTTATCATCTTTATTTCATTTTATCTTCATCATTATGACCCCTTTACTGAAAGCATGCCTGGCATAACAGGAAAAACTCAATACTGGTCAAGTAAATGATTCTGAGAGATGGATGACCCTATATATGCTGAAACATAGAAGACAAACTCTTTTTAATAAAAATATGACACTAAAGCAGTGGCTTCTCACTGCATTCAAACACTTGTCCTAACTGCTGATAGTAAGTTTATCAATGACTTACAAAGGAGCTACTGGGCCCGTAACACCTCTCATCTACAGTCATGAAGTACAAGTTATAAGATGCTTATGGAACTAACTACTCATGCAGACTCTTGATTCTGGCAGAACCATATGAACAGTGAAGTGCGCCACAAAGTAGTACTAGTCGATGGAATAGCAAAATGCACTCTGGCAGAAGCCCTAACTTAATTTTTCCAAAAGATTTTTTTTTCCGTCAAACCTTCACCTCTTTGCCAGGAATAAGTCAAGGGAGGTATGTTGACTGAGTATTAACAGAAGTTGCCAAGTATGCACAATGATTCTTTCTCAAAGCAAGTAAAGATCTACAGCTCTAAACCACTACTTAGTTGGCGTTATATTCAAAAGTGGACTAGCAGGAAACGTCTTCATTGAAAAAAGGATGCCTAATTGAATTCTTCTGTATAACTACTCCTCTTCCATTTAGTACCAAAAGGTGCTATCTACTATTAAAAAAAAAAAGTAAAAACTTCTACAGTGTTATTCACCCAAAGCTAGGTAGCTTAAACTGTAAATACTCCCCACCTTTTGTTCAGTGTACAAATATACAAAGAACCCAGAAACAAGTCCAAACAAGAACTTTCTCAAAGCACACATACCCTAATTTGAAAAACCATTTATTTCACTGGAAAGTGATCCAAATCTCTAGGACTAGCCTTTGGGCCAAAAAAGAAAACCTGGAGCAGTGATTCTCAGCAAGGTCAGGAGGCAGGGAAGAGACAGCACAACCTCTACCAGTTCCTGCACAGGAGGCATGCTGGGAAAACAGAACATGAATGGGAAGCTACAGAAGAATAAACAGAACAGGGAATTGAGCAGGAGAGAGAACAGGAAAAGAAAGTCTGAACTTAACAAGGTAAAATAAGGTCCATGGTTCCTGAGGGACTGAATGCACAGAGCCGAGAACGTCCCGGAGATGGGGTACCACGAAGGGTGTATTCTCATGCACAACCGCAGCTCGGAATTTCAGCCCACACACATCCCACCTGAAAGAGAGCACAGTACAGGGGCTTTACAGCAAAGCTCAAAAGGGCTTTTCCACTTAGAAACTTCAAAGAACATCTTACGTCATACCTTGATACTCACTTTCAAGTTTATCTTTCCCTAATATCTACATAATTTCTAAAAATGAGAACAGCTTGCAGGTAAGAGAATCATTGGGAAGGCTAAACAGTCCCCCAGTAAAGGCCTTTCTCCAAATTAAATAGCAAAATTTTCATGACAGTAGGCAAAGATATTCTATTACTTTCAATGTTAACATTAGCATTCTCAAGAGAAGGGAAGGTAATTCCACAAACTCAGAGAGCAAAAACAAACAAAAAAAAAAAAAGGGGGAAAGTTCCAATTAACCTCTGGGGTAAAAAGTCAACAGTGTTTCAATCTAAGAATTACTGCAAGAACTAGGAAAAAGTTGCATCAACTGAACAAGTTTGAAGGTTTATAGAACCAACTTTTAAAAGAAGGCACTGGAAAATGTGTAAGCTACATCAAGTTACTCAAGTTTTTCTTCTAGCACAATCCTAGTCAATGAACCCAGTCAGTCATTTGGACCAGTCAACGGACCTAAGCAAGTCACATACCATCTGCTCTACTATGAAAGATGACGAAGTGTCTGTATTACAAGATTAAGGATCAATAACAATATCAGGGACACAGCAGGGCTCCTCAAAACTAAAAGAACTGAAAAGTACAACAGCAATCTCAAAAAACCTAGAGCCCAAAGCTGACAAGAAGCGTCAAAAGAGAATGCATTCAAAACAGAAGCCCCACGGTGGTAAACACCTATCTCAGCACTCAGGACTGAAGCACAAACTGCCACAGTTCAAGGTCCCCTTAGGCTACATTCTGAGACTGTCATGGTCAAATGGACTCGGGTAAAGTTGTTGAGTATTAAATGTCCTTAACTAATGGGAAGATGAGGAAGTGATGTGGTGGTCATGGTAAAGTTCCTAAGACTAGATTTCAACATTACCAAGAAATACACAAGTATACATGTAAACGTATACTGCTGTATCGCCCTAAGTGAAACATGTCAAACCCAGGGTCAAAAATAAAAAAACTGAATAAGAGGCTACAACACAATAGAGGTAAAAGATAACAAAAGTGGACTCTTAAGGTCATGAAGCTGGACTAAGTAGCTAAGTTAGACTTTGAAGCTCATGCCAGACTTCCTTACTCTGAGAAATGTTTTCAACTATTTCTGCTTTAATTTATAACTAATTAAGTTCTTTAAATGCCTAAGACAAAGAGACCTTTGAGAATATGAGAAACAATCTTCAAGATTAAGATGAAGTCATTTTGTGGATCTTCATAGGATTTGAACAATAATAATCAGTTAACTAGTTAGAAACTTTATCATTAGTGGTCCTATCAGATCCAGATCCTTTTCACAGCATAATGCAATACAGCAAACTAAAAAAAGAAAAAAACAATAACTAGTGCCACACAGCTAAGAAATTCAACAGACTCTAAGAAGCAGCCCACCTATGTCTCAATATCTGGATCCCAGGTCAATTACAGCACAGGTTTGACCCAAGATTTAACAGTACACCATTGTTTGTTGTTTCAATACATTGAGAATGACTCCCACTATTAGAAGCCCTGGAAAAATAGACAAAAGAGCAAAGGATGTTTACTTCAAACTTAAACATTTAAGAACTTGTCTGTAAACTGAACTATGCTAGTAACCTCATACTAGCAAGCAGAGCAGCCTAACTGGAGCCCTTTGAGGCCACAGGAGGGATGGCAAAAACCAACAGGGGACACCCCCCCACGCTCACCTCAAACTTTAAAAGGCTGAGTACCGCGCCCGATCCGCATACTGCTCCCGCTCATACCGGGCCATGTCGTACAGGGAATTCCGCATGGCTGCTGAAGCTTGGGATAACTCACTGTCATGCCCGTAACCGTAGCCCTCTCCAACAGTGGGGACTGGGCCTGTAGCGCAACGCAGGGGGCTCCGATCCCGCCCGTAATATGAAGTAGAAGCTGCAGTACAAGCAGCAGCCGCTGCTGCAGCAGCAGCTCCTGAAGGTGGCAACAGATGTCTATTGTAGGGATCGAGAGAGGTGGAGGTGAGGTGACTGGCCATGGCTGTGTTCTGGACTTGTGGCAGCTGGGACAGAGTCTGCTCTGCATAGTTATATGCAGACGCAGCTGCAGCTGCCACTGCCTCATAGGAGCGGGCAGCACGGCAGCGCTTGTAGTAGGCATCGAGCGCTCCGTACGTGTTGTTGTAATACAATGAATCCCCATAACTCATGGTGTAAGGCGTACGCACTGCTCCATATTGCTCATTATATTGCTCAGTCAAGTCTGCCACGCGGCCCGAACGATCTATTGGACACTCTTTGGACCAGTGCCCCTCTTTCCCGCACCGATAGCAGCCGCTCTGGTCTCCCATCCCGGGCGCAGTCCTAAGTCGGCTGGTGGACAACTGCACGTGCATTCGTTTGCCTTGAAGAAACAGACGCAAGAAGGGTTGCTATCACGAAGTAATAGCCCAAGCCCCTACCCCAGCCTCTGGTCATAGCAATGGTTTTACTTAAACAACTCTGGATGTGTTGTCAAAATTGTCAAAATGCCTTTCTATGGGGGATGGGGAAGCCCAACATACAGATTCAGCATAAATGACCTGATTTCAAGCAAAGGATAACCAGAAGAAGAAGAAATAGTTATCAACACCAGCTTACTGTTTAAGAATTCTACTCTTGCTCAAAAGAGATTTCACCCACTGCCAAGTAACTGCACAAATAGCTACCCCAATGGCCCAATACATAAGAAACTCTAGAATGTTTCAAAAATCTGACATTCCCATCTTTTATATCAAGATTAAGCAGGGAAAAAATGTTGAATCAATTTTATGCATACATACCCCAAATCAAAGAGATTCCAAAGTTACCATCACTTAAGAATGATTAGGACTTGTTCCAAAGCTAAGCCTAGATGCCAAGTTTCAAAGCTAGATCTTTGGAATAGCCATGAATTAAGGAAATATGGAAACACAAGATGAAAGTCTTCTCTTTAAATTGTTCTTTCTCATTTAATAATCATTCTAATAGGGATTTATCCACAATCTGACTCTCTAATCAGAAGGCCAAAAGAAAATTGGGCAAGCTGTCAACACATATACACACAGTAAGTGCATTTTAATAAGAAAGTAAGAAAGGTACAAAGAGTAATCAACAATGCTAGTGAAACAAACTGCTCAGGGTAGAGGAATTACAGTGAGAAGATGAAAAAAGCTGAGCATGATGGCACACACCTTAATCCTAGCACTTTGAAGAATGAGGCCAGAGGGTAAGTTACATACAGCCTGTTTCAAAAATCAAGTAAGATTTTGAAATTCTAAGAACATGCTTCAAACACAACCTTTCTTTGAAAAACACAATTGGTATTTTGAAAATGAAATAGTTCTCAAAGCCCTAATAAAAGAAAAGAGGCAACTTTTAGAATAAAGGTTAAAACTAAATTCTCAATTTATTCACCTAAGAAATTTCTACCTATGTCAACAAATTTACTGGCAAATGAATTCAAAAGGGATCTAAATCCAGCAAAATCTTCACAGTGTAATGACTCCAATGCACCTCAACACATATGTTGTAACAGTAACAGAAGAGGAAGCTGGAAGAATGGCACAGTGCTAAGATCACTGGTTGCTCTTCCAGAGAAGTCCGGTTCTATTCCCAACATTTCCATGGATGATCACAATTACCTCTAACTCCAGTTTCCAGGGGATCTGATCCCCTTTTCTGGCCTCCAAGGTGCCAAGCACACTTGGTGCACATAAATACATGCAGGCAAACATTTTTAAAAAAAAAAAAAGGCAAAAATAATTTTTCAGAAAGTCACTAGAAAAATGGTTTCTCCCACTAATAAATCTAGACTGCAGATATCAAAAGAACAAAGATAGGTGATTAGATATTTACAGGCCATAATGGACAACACCGAAATTTGCCCAGGATGGGGATGGGGAAACTTTAGAACATAACAAATTAGGGGAAAAAAAATACAGCCCAGAAATATGCAAACACATTTAAGACATAGAATTATTCACTGATAAATGCCTTGATCTATGCATTTGTTGATTCTGGTGTCCAAAAAGGGAACTAAACCTTTTAAATCTAAAGACAGTTTTTTCAAGCAAGCAAGCAAGCAAAAACAAAAACAAAACAAAACAAAAAGTACCCAATTGTAATAAACTGAAAGGGAAAGGACTAGTCAGTTACTCAACATATAAAGAACTCTGATCAATTAAGAAATGAAACAAAGGCAAACATGATATAATCCCAGCACTCAGAAGACAGAGGCAGGTGGATCTCTGTGAGTTTGAGGCCAGCATGGTCTACAGAGCAAGCTCCAGGACAATCAGAGCTGCTGTTACACAGAGAAGTCCTGTATAGAAAAACTGTGTGTGTGTACGCACACACGGGGAGGAAGGGAGGGAGGGAAGGAGGGGAGGAGAAAGGGAGGAAGAGAGGGAGAGAGCGAGGGAGGGAGGGAAGGAAGGAAGGAATAAAACAGTAAGGCTGGGGACTTGGAGGGACACACACCTAGAAGAGGTTGGAGACAGAAAAATGGCTTAAAACCAACCTAAGTTTAAGGCCAACCTAGGTAACATAATGAAGAAAGGAGAGAAGAGATGGTCTCCAGCTGTTGCTCAGCTTACTAGCATGTGAAAAGCCCTGGACTCTATCTCTAGCACCACATTTTGAAAGACCATGACATTAAGAGAAATAGTGTAAAATTGACTAAACATGGGCTAGCATCAGAGCCCGAGTTTCAGATACCCAGTTATAAGAACACTTGCCCTCAAACAGACCACACTGTCCTCCCCTTACACATGTAACTGCCACCAGAAGACACCATCTCTTTGCGATTAAAGTGCTAGAAAGCCTCCAAATATCAGGTCTCATACCAGAACCTTCCACAAAAGCAGTCTTTGCTTCCAATTAAGTTGTTGACAAAATATCTCTCAGCTTCCCAATTAAAAAAGAAAAGCAAACTAGACCTGAGAGACCTGTGACATTTTTAATAATGCAAAGCAATGCCCATGACACAGGGCACTTGTCACATGGGGGGGTGTCATCAGACTCTAGAAAGGTTCAATTTAAGGGGGGGAAAACCCAAAGATGACAATAAAGCACTGTTCCACAAAAGTTAGTAATGAAGAAAAGAACCAGCCACTGCTTAGTGTTAATATAGTCAGAGCCCAGGTTTGAAATACAGTTCTGGGGGGGGGGGGGGAATCTGCACACATGTTGTAGACATACACACACCACACTCAAACAACACATATAAAGTTAAATATTTAAAGGGGAGGCAGAAAGATGGCTCATAGGTTAAGAGCACTGGCTGCTGTTCCAGAGGACACTGGCTCAATTCCCAGCACCCACATGGTAGCTCACAACTGTCTGTAACTCCAGTTCCAGGGGGTCTGCAATCTTCACATCAAAGCATAAACAAACATAAAAATAAGAAAACCTGAGTTATGGGTCTGGTGGGATGGCTCGGCAGTTAAGAGCACTTCCTAATCACCATATGGCTGACAACCACCTGGTTCCAGTCCCAAGGGATCTGACACCCTCTTTCTGTCTTCTGTAGATCGCACATAAATATTTCAAAATCCCTGTATTTTTTTCTTTTATTTTCCCCCTAAGAAATATAGCTATGAGTTCCAGGACTATGCTGTAATCTGGAAGTTTGTCAGATCCTTAAAAGAAACTGTTTCTGACTCTTGGAACCTAAAAGCATGAGAGGAGTTCAAAGTTCAGCTAACAATTCAGTCTTTTAAGTGCTACTCTTGACAAAAGAGTTTAGATCTTAAAATAAAACTAAATACCTTCCAAATCAATTGATAAACCACATCAACATCCTCCAGGCACAAAAACAATTCAGCCACCAAGGCTTTATGGTAACCCCAAACTATCCCCCAAAATGTCTAAACCAATCTACCCCTGCATGCACATGAAACCAACCAGAGGACATGCCATTACTGCTCCAAATCTTAACGCTTCCTCTCTTGATTCTTAAAATCAGTCTCCTAAGTGATGTTCAAATGTGACTCCTTGGCACAGACGTAAAGCAAAATTAACTAGAGCCACAACCTTTCAAAAGTTTGTCATTTTTACTGAAAGAACTGAAACAAGAGGGGAAGTTTAACCCAAATTCTGTCCCTGCTGCTTTCTTTCTCTGGATTTTCCTCTATCAAGTGCATTCAATGTGACGTTGTGTTGATCCAATAAAAATCAGAGTTAAAAAGAAGAAAAAGTCTTCAGAGAAATGATATTGTTTGTTTTCTTGAGACAAGGTTTCTCTAACAGTCCTGGCTGTCTTGGAACTCACTCTGTAGACCAGGCTGGCCTCTAACTCAGAGATCCACCTGCCTCTGCCTCCCAAGTGTTGGGATTAAAGGCTTGCGCTGCAACCACTGCCGCCACCACCACCAGGGAGAGAAAGGATTTCACAACAGGCTCAAAAGTCTTAAACACCACAAATGAAAACGAACTATATTTCCGCTTCCAAATCACCATTCTCCATTTTATAAAACTCATTACTTATTTCCTGCACTGTTCCTGAGCATTTCATAAAAAAAGGTTGAGGGTCAGTGGATGTAACTTAGGGAGTAAAGAAGCCCTTGTCACCTGACTTGTTAGGCCTGGCCACCTAAATTCAAGGAGAGAACAGATTCCCCCAAACTGTCTTCTGATCTCCATATGCATGCTGCAGTGCACAGGAACAGATACAAAATAAATGAATAAACATAATTTTTGCTGAAGAAATGCATCACCCATCCTTATCAGCCAGCAAAAAGTTTTCTATCCCAAACCCTTTCTCTCTAATCATCCAATTTCTTCCTTCCTAATAGCCTTGTGTTGAGCTGTCAATCACCAAAGAGAGTGGTTCACCTTGAAACTCTGTGTTGTCAAGGCCCCTGATGGCCTCCACTGCATCCTCTGCCCGCTCCATGTGTACAAAGGCATAATCTTTCACGATGTCACATTCAATGACTGGGCCATACTCCTCAAACTTGGCCCGAAGCTCTTGGTTGGTACAAGTGGGACTGATGTTGCCCACATGTAACTTGGTTGAAGCTTTGCTCTTATTCTTGCTGGCTTCCACATTGATGTTCACTCCGTGCAGCTTGTAACGGTGCAGGTTGCGTATGGCATCCTCAGCAGCTGTCTTGTCCTCTATGTGCACAAAGCCATAGTTCTTAATGATGTCACATTCCAGCACCTTCCCATACTGCTGGAAGAGTGAGCGGATCTCTTGCTCTGTAGCCTCCCGGGGAAGATTTCCAATGAACAGCTTCACCATCTCCACACAGCCTGCAAGTAGAAAGACAAAGTTAAGGATAGACCTAAATCCATAGCAACTATTAAAAAATAAACAAACAGATAAAATCAACCCCTACTATCACCTCCTTTCACTCTAACATATAGTTCCAAAATTTTATCTTTTGGGTGTGCCCTGTCACATCTCCAAACAATAACCAACAAGGGAGTTCAACAAGAGAGCCTGCTTTACGGCCCACAAGAACTTCTATTAAAGAGGTCTCTAACAAGGCAGTCTTTTGTAGACAAAGGGAATTTTGTGGTGTTGGGCATCAAACCTACAGTGACATACATTACAGGCCAGTGCTCTGCCACTGAGTAGACCCTTTGCCCCAGACAAAGGAAAAACAGGGCTGGAAGTTTTGAGAATAAATTAAAAGCTACATATACTGAGCATTTCAGTCCACTGTGATAGCCACTAGAAAACAAGATTTTAAGCTGAGCAGTGGTGGCATACACCCTAAGCCCAGCACTCAGGAGCACAAGTGGATCTCTGAGTTCTAGGCCAGCCTGGTCTACAGAGCGAGTTCCAAGATGGATCCAAAGCTACAGAAAAACCTTGTCCCAAAAAACTAAAAAAACTTAAAAAAAAACCAACAACAAAGAAAAGAAAATAAAGATTCTCACTACTAGACTTGCTAATTAGGGCTTCCTCTCTTAGCAATCATTTCCGGAAACGTGGGCCTTGCAGTAGCTGGGTTTAGGAGTTTCCTTTGGAATAGCGAACACTGGAATCAACCAGATAATAAGTATGGGAAATACAGAAAGTTCCCGAGGAGAGATCCTTTTTTTTGGGGGGGTTGGGGGGATGCCGCAGCGCACATCTTTACTATGTAGCTCCTACAAAAAAAAAAACTGGCCGAGCAGTGGTGGTGCACGCCTTTAATCCTAGCACTTGGGAGACAGAGGCAAGTGAATCAATCTCTCTGGGTTCGAGGCCAGCCTGGTTTACAGAGTTCCAGGACAGCTAGGGCTGATACACAGAAAAGCTCAACAGAAAGAAAAAAGAGAAGGGGGGAAAAAAAAAAAAGAAAAACTGCCTGGTCAAAGATGGGTGCTATATATTGTTTAACGAGGAAACAAGGCCCGGGGGCATGAGAAAGTCTCATTTCTAAATCTAAGAGTTAACTAGGCATAAACCCCCAAACAGGAAAATGAACAAAGCAGAGGATAAAGGGGACAAAAGGAAGGTATTCCAGGGACTGCGGGGTGGGGACTTGAGGGAGGGCTGCTTCAGGCTTACCGCACAAAGTCGAGGACCGAGGTCGGCTCTCAGTGACGGGTACGCAGGCCGCGACCCCACTAGGACAGCCCTGACGTCCAAGGGAGTCAGGGAAGTTTTAATAAAGAACACAGAAGAAGGATTTGGAGTCTCTCACCACATGGAAATCTGCAGATCCTCCTCCTCGCAGCGCGGACGGTTCTGACAAAATGCTAAAATGGCGGCGGCCACAGCAGTGACTCTGGGTAGAAAGGGGGAGTGAACCTACCACCGGATTGGACGTTCGGTAAAGTAAAAGGCTGGCGTTCCCGGAGATCCTCTTCCTGATTGGTTACCGCGAACGCCAATTACCTGAGAGGCCAGGAAGAGGTGGAAACGTCAGTAATCCGGAGCTTTTATACGGAAGCCAATGAGTACCCAGCCTAGTGAAAGCGAAGCCACTGATTGGGCAGGAGGTCCATGTGAGGGAGGAGCCACAAACGTGGGTTTCTTCGAAGTGTGGCCCGCCATTAGGCAAACCAAGCGATAGTCTGTGTGGCAGTCAGTGGCTTCATGGCCCTAACTTTGTTAAGCTTTCACATTCCACGTGCACGCTCTGACTGTATTCAGTTTTCTATTCCAAGATTTCGCACCGTCCAACTGAACGCCACTACACCTCGCAGTTTACACAGACCTCCGTCCAGTCTACACAAACCACACGCAATAAATAGCCGAGCACCCGCCCCTACTTAAAAATCAACCTCAGCCTTGGGCAATTTCAACTTTGGCCCTCCTGAGTCCCATAGCTACCCAGGAATTAAAACTAGGTAGTTGAAAAACTCTAAAACAGTCCGTAGACCCAGCTTCAATTACGGTATAATGGCCCAGAAACGAGCCGGCCAGAAACCTAGGAGGCACTGGGATAAATGATCCCTCTAGCCTCCCACCACCCAAAATGCCATGTAAACATGAAAGTTGACCCCACCCCCACCCCCACCTCACCCCAAAAGAAAAAAAACAGCAACAAAAACAAAAGCAAAAAACAGGAACGGCAAAAGTTTTGTTTTGTTTTGTTTTATTGGGTGCCATTAGCCAGAGCTGTTTAAACTCCCTAGAACTGACCTTAGGAGAAAAGGCTTTGTGACAATCAGCTGCAAACAAGTACAAAAGAACATTCTTCACAGGATCCAATGCCCTCATCACATTTTTCTCACCCACTGGTGGCTTCACATAATCCCATACTCAGTGAGCAAGCAAATTTAGTCATGACCTTTGCAAAGCAGCTTTGGAAGATGGGGATAAAAGGGGAAAGGTGCTTAATGGATAACTTGAACATGAACAGGCAGAAAGCAGCGGAACTTCATGAGAACAGGATGGGGAATGGAAGAACAAACAGCATACTGCCACCCAAAATGGCCACACACCCTGGGGCTGGGGGGTTGGGGATTAACTAAAACAAAAAAGACAGAAAATAAGCCTAACTCAGAAACAGAAAACTAGTCAATAATTTAAGTATGGGAAAGGGTATTTTTAAAAAATTAAAACAGGCAGTTGTGGAGCATGCCTTTCACCCCAGCATTTAGGAGGCAGAGGCAGGCGGAACTCTGAGTTCCAGGTCAGTCTGTTCTACAGAGTGAGTTTCAGGACATCCAGAAAAACTCTGTCTCAAAAAGGAAAACTCTTCTGAGTTCAAAGCCAGTCTGGTCTATATGGCGAGTTCCAGGACACCGGGACAGGCTCCAAAGTTACAGAAAAACCCTGTCTCAAAACCCCCACTCCCCAAAACGTGAAAATATGACATTAAATATGGCCACGGTCCATTTCACTCTGATGCACCTGAGTCTGAGTAAAGGCAACCTGAGATCAGTAATCAATACAACCAGTCCTACTGCCCTGGACCTTTCTGAGGAGGTCTAGTACTACATTATCACAACTCAATATGCATCCAGAAACACATTCAGTATAGAAATTCTTTTCTCTCTGTTCAATCTTCTAAATTTTCTTATGCCGAAATCCTTGAAAAATACCTGCAATAGCATACAAGACCAATTCATTCACTAAACTAGAATCTCTACAGGTTCAAAGGTAGAGACTAGGTAACAATTCAAAGGATCACAATTCATGCCAGTGTGCAGACATCAAAACCACCAGACTATGGCCAACCAACCTCCAAATCAAAATCATGTCCTTGGTTTTTAAAATCTACTACAGCTGAACAGGCAATACCAGCATATAAGAGGGAGAGGCAATTAAGTCTCTGTGAGTTCAATGCCAGCCTGCTCTACATATCAAGTTCCAGGTTAGTCAAGCCTACATAGTTTGATTCTGCCTAAAAGAAAAACCGGAGTGAGGGGCATATTCAAATTTCTTTATGGACTAAAAAACTACCCAACCAGGTTTTCACTACAGTCTCAGCCTGTCTGATCAGTACCAACACTCCAGATAAAGACTGGTTTTTAAATTCAGAATACAAAATTCTCTATTCAGATCTTTTACTGGCTGGTTTTTTTTGTTTGTTTGTTTGTTTTTTTTTTGAGACAGGATTTCTCTGTGGCTTTGGAACCTGTCCTGGAACTAGCTCTTATAGACCAGGCTGGCCTCAAAACTCAGAGAGATCCACCTATCTCTGGGATTAACGACGTGCACAATCACCGCCTGGCTTACTGGCCACTATATTTAAAGGCACAGACCCTGACTTGTAACTGATCACTTCATGCTACTTTTGCAAGTAATTACAATCACTTGAAATTCTATCTTGATCATTTTCCATATTACATGCCCTCAATGCTGGAACTACTTTGGTAACACGAAAAACCCTCAAATATTTATTGACTAAGAAAAGAATGCAGGCCAGAAGCAGAGGCAGAAAGATCTATCTGTAAGTTCAAGGCCAATCTGGTCCACAAGTCTACAAGAGCTAGTTCCATGACAGCTAGGACTGTTAAACAGAGAGACCCTGTTAAAAAAAAAAAAAGAAAAAAGAAACTAACGCATGACAAAACTTTCTGATATCTAAGGACGGAAGTGATTGGATTCAGTTCATGTTATACTGGCTTGCTGGCTAGAAAGGTATATGCTCAATGATAAGTTAAGAGTCTAACATGTGAGGTCCTTAGTTTAGAATCCCAGTACTTCAGCAAGGCAGTGGTGGCGCACACCTTTAAACCTGGTACTCGGGAGGCAGGTAGATCTCTGTGAGTTCGAGGTCAGCCTGGTCTACAGAATGAGTTCCGGGACAGCTAGGGCTGTTGCACAGAGAAACCTTGTCTTAAAAACCCCAAAGAATCCCAGTACTTCAAGGAAAAGTTATCTGTGCTTATCATCACCCAGAACAATGTTTCAATCTTCTTCAAAACAAAATCTGATCATCAAGTCAGAGGTGGCTTTTCATCATGACTTTGACAAAAGCAAAATGAAGTCCTAGGTAACGAGGTTCTTGCTGTTGTCTGTTTGCTCACAGCTATAGGAACTTGGTGTTCCCCTTACAAAAAGTACAGCACCAATTTCAAACCCTCTTCCTTAACTATAATCCCACCTCCAGAAGCACTTTTTCTGTCTAATCCATCTCACTATCCGGGAATACTGTTTTTAAATCATCTTGTCTGCTGGGGCTAGGTATGTAGCGCAATCATAGAACGCCTGCCTAGCAAGGAGGACCTGGGTTCACTCCCCAGCAACATAACTAAAAACTCTTAGATACCTCAGCCTTTTTTTTTTTTATTCCTTTTTGGTTTTTCGAGACAGGGTTTCTCTGTGTAACTCTAGCTGTTCTGGAACTCACT